TTAGAAGGTAACCAAGAAGGAGACCCACTTATATCTCCTTGTGAGTGTAGAGGGTCAATTCGTTTTGTACATTTGCGGTGTATTCGTCACTGGATAGAGGGAAGATTAAATATAAATACTCAGCAGCAGCAGCAGCAGCAGCAGCAGCAGCAGCAGCAGCAGCAGCAAGAAGGAGGAGCTGCAGCAGCTGCAGCAGCAGCAGCAGCAGAAAGCAGCAAACCTATTTTCATCAAACAACTTCTTTGTGAACTCTGTAAAATACCTTATCCTGCTGCTATCAATTATAATAATGGTGAGATATAAACAAATATATTTAAATAAATAAATAAATAAATAAATAAAAATAAAAAAAAGAGAGAGAGAGAGAGGGGGGGTGGGGGAGGGGAAGGGGGAGGGGTTGTTTTTGTTTTGGTGTTGCTGCTGCTTCTGGCGGTGGTTTGGTGTTTATTAGGGTTTAGGGTTTAGGGTTTAGGGTTTGTCTTTATTATTATATATTATAATTTATTATAATTTATTATAATTTATTATTCTTTATTAAGGTTAATTATGGTCTATTAGGGTGTATAAGGGTTTATTAGGGTTTACTAGGGTTTATTAGGGTTTACGAGGGTTTAGGGTTTAGGGTTTAGGGTTTGTGATCAGAGCGCATGCAAGTTGTAACTTTACCTAAAACAGAACCACCTTTTCTTGTTTTGGAGAATATGGTGGGCTCCCATCAAAAAGGAATACATATCATCAGCATGAGCGCTAAAAAAGACCTTAAACTCGTAAGGAAAAGGGTTTAGGGTTTAGGGTTTATGAGGGTTTAGGGTTTAGCAGGGTTTAGGGTTTAGGAGGGTTTAGGGTCTGAGAGTTTGTTGGGGCGGGGGGAGGGTTTAGGAGGGTTTATAAAGTAAAATCAAGTAAATACATTTTATTTATTTATTTATTTATTTATTTACTTTATTTATTTATTTTATTTATTTATTTATTTATTTATTTATTTATTTTATTTATTTATTTATTTAGGGTAGAGGCCATGCATCTGACGTTTGTATTTCTGTTTCTATTTTTTTGTATATTAACTTAAATACATCAAAAAAAAGCAAAATAAAAACACAAAAAAAAACAAAATAAATAAAATAAAATATTTATTTATTTATTTGTTTATTTATTTATTTGTTTATTTATTTATTTGTTTATTTATTATTTATTTATTTAGGGGAGAGGCCATGAATCAGATGTACGTATCCCTGATGTTTCTATTTCTCTTTATATTAACTTAAATACACCAAAAAAAAGCAAAACAAAAACACAAAAAAAACAAATAAAATAAAACAAAATAAATAAAATAAAATATATATTTATTTATTTGTTTATTTGTTTATTTATTTAGGGGAGAGGCCATGAATCAGATGTACGTATCCCTGATGTTTCTATTTCTCGTTA